CTTTCGAATCATTCCCCAGTAGTTTTCAAAGTCCTATCCACTCAGTTCGGTCCTCGACCTTCCAAGTGGTTCAACCATTGGGCAGATGACCCAGGCTATGTCGATCTCATAAAAGAGGTTAGTTCGAATTCGAGGGGACTGAGTGCTTCAAAAGTCTTGAAAAACATTGAAGTTGCGTCCAAGTAATGGACCATCTCCTCAAAGCAAAAGAAAGAAGGCTGCATCAAATCGATTGAAGAAAGAATTGCCACACTCGAAGAGGCCAACCTCGCTACTGGTTTCAATCCAGATATCTATTTGGAGATAAACTGCCACAAACATAAATTATGGAGTTTGTACAGAACGGAAGAACGAGAATCATTACAGAAATCCCGCCTGAAATGGTTCGTTGAGGGGCACCGTTCAATTAATTGAGTCTATGAAATTAATTACTCATAAATTTGTATTACTATACACTTTTTGGTGAAATTCTGAATTTATCCTCTTATTTTTAAAAAATATAAGTTAGTCCATCTTCTTCAATTTCTCATAATTGAGATTTGCACTTTATGGAAACTTAAAAGTTTGTCAAATTATTGGTAAACCCATAACTTGAACTGTTGACTTTTGTTAATTTGTTTCGTTTGAATCAAAAATTTCTTAATTTTTATTATGTTCTTATTGTTAAACAATTAACTTATAGGTCATTTGATTTAATGACAATGTTTAAGATTGTTATCCAAACGGAGTAGCATCGAAGGTTTTTTTTTATATAAAATATGCGAAATGGATTTTGATAAATTAAAGTAAATAGATCGTTTTTTCAACTTTGTAAAGTAGAATGATGAAATTCATAATTAAACCTATATGTTATTATATCATAGTATATTTAAAATATTTTACTTGCACAAACCAAACGACCTCAATGGTTAAGGTATTTGTTGTTATTCCTTGAGGTCCAAGATTTAGGATAAAAAAATATTGGACTAATTGTTTAGGATGAGTTTCCATTTTTTTTCTTTTCCGTTTGTTAAAATTTGGATTGAATAAAATTCTATGTTATTTTACTTTCTAAGCTATATAATTACAACAAAAAAATAAAAAAAGACATAATGTATAAATCGATTATAATTAATATATTAACTTGATTTAAAACACTCGGGAAATTATTTAACCAATGGTCGTCTCAGCTTTGCCAAAGATGGGAGCCCCAGAGGACCAATCCCCATTTTTTTTTTGACAATTTATTAAGTTATATGTTAAATTAAATTGACCATTTAAAATAAATAGTATATCTTGTTTATGTCTTAATTTCGAGTGTTAAGGGACAAGGAAAAAGGATATTATTTTATAATTTTTTTCATTTCACTACGAAAAAGGATATTACATTGGCTGAAAAGTTTAGTGAGAACATGTCCAACTTTTTTTTTTTGACAATTAGTACTGTAGTTGGCTTCCTCAACAATATTATCAAGCCTTCGTTAGTTCTTAACAACTAAAATTTGGTTAAGTTGTTTTATTAATGTAATTACAACATCATAGTTCCAAAGGATGATATTGTCATGCTATTACAACTATTTATTCAAAATACAAATTATCGAGGCATTCGATTTTAAAAAACCAACGTGGGCATAATAAATCAGCTTTTTAAAAGCAATGTACGGAATTAAATGTTGATTCAACTCTACTTGAAAATTTTCGATTCTGATGAGAAGGCATCATAAATCTACTTTAAAAAGCTCGCACTAGAAAGTTCAATTAAATTCTCAAATTAAAATATCGATTTACAACATCATAGTTCCAAAGGATGATATTGTCATGCTATTACAACTATTTATTCAAAATACAAATTATCGAGGCATTCGATTTTAAAAAACCAACGTGGGCATAATAAATCAGCTTTTTAAAAGAACAATGTACGGAATTAAAATGTTGATTCAACTCTACTTGAAAATTTTCGATTCTGATGAGAAGCATCATAAATCTACTTTAAAAAGCTCGCACTAGAAAGTTTCAATTAAATTCTCAAATTAAAATATCGATTCCCACATTTAACATGATTAAAAAGAACTAATTAGAATCATAAATCTAAATCTCACCGTGCATGAAAAACTCGGCACCTCAACTCATCACCACCAGCAATATCAGAAACACCAACAAACCAATACCGAAAACAACACGTATCCAACAACTATACAAGAGCAAATGAATACCCAAACAGTGTATACGACAAGTACAACTATAGCTGACCATAATAATACCAGGAAAATACAACTATAGCTGACAATAGTAATACCAGGAAAATACATGCATCCAACAACTAAACTCGAGCATAGCAATGCCGAAAACATACAGGTATCTCGAAACCATATCGAAGAATAGCAATGTATCCAACAATTATACCCCCATATATAAGGCCACAACCAGGTAGGTAACCAAGGCCAACCTTTTATAAGGTCTCATGGCAGGAGAGAGGAAACATGGTTAAAATAGGTTGTGTCCTCATTTCAAGCATTTTCATGCCTACACCTAGCATTTTGATTATGTTGTTTTCGCATAAGGGGTAAACAGTCAACAAGTTATGGGGGGTTAAATGACAAATAGAGATATGTTTTAGAAACACCATCGAAGGTTACCCCACAACCCCAATCTATGGTGTGGCTGAAGTTACTACTTTTCGGGTTCGATCATGTGATTCAGCTATGCCCTTTGCTTGAAAAACCAAGTTGTGGCTAAGAACTAATTTGTGGCTTGCTTATTTTCTGAATAGATAATGGTGATTAAGGCTGACTTGGCTGGGAAACGTCGATTTCAAGGGCCACACAAATTAGCAATGGAGCTAATCTGATCAGATACAAGTAGAATTCTAAATTACCCATTTTTCACAGCTGATAAAAACTTGAATGATAATGGCAAAAGGACAGATACAAGCAATCTGATCAGCCTAGTCACTAACTATATGCTTTCCTAAATTCAATCTATAGCCACAATCGTCCATAATTACGTATTAACAAAGCATTCGTAACTTTATGCAGAAAAAACAGTAAAAAAATTAACATCCGAAACCACAAGATTTTAACCAAGAGCTCAACATGTTTCAATAGGTCAAAATGGTTCATCAAAGACAACAACGAAAATCCTTTTAAAAGTACAGTATCCATCAAACAAAGCAAAATTAAAAGAACAAGAGATTGAAATTACGGGCTTCTAAAGAAATTAGATTACTTAGATCTTTGCCTCATCTTTCTTCTCTTCCTCTTCAACCTCCTCATACGCTTCTTCTTCCACTGAAAATTACAAAAATAAGAAAACCCATTTCAATATTTCAATCAAAGAACAATTGAAAAGTATCAAAAATGAAGATCGTGATTCGAATGGTTAAGTTAACACCTTAGCTCTCATGGCGAAAAGGCTTCGAAATCGAACTCTTTTTGCAGCTCGAAACCACCGGTTTTTGCTTCCTTCTTCAGAGGCTGCGACAAGAGTGATGTGCTGAAACTGGGGATTTGAGATTATATAGAGAGAAGAAAGCTTGAAACCCTAAAATGCCTAAAGGCCATCGTTGTTCAGCTTTGGGTAATTGGACTATTGGGTTATGCTATTCTGGAGCCTTCATAGCCCAAAATAAAGTTTTTTTTTGGATAATTTAATTAACTCCATTTAGGGTAAACTATATATTTAGTACCTATACAATTATTTTTGTTCTGTTTTGATACTCAAACATTATTTTGTTTCAAAATCATACCTAATTTTTAGTTTATGTTTCATTTTGGTACACTATCATTAAGATTTAACGTTGATGTTAACATGTCATCATAAGGTAATACCACATCATCATTAAAAAATCACATCTTGATTCTCTTAATTTTTAATGATAGGGTACCAAATTGAAATCTAAATTAAATGTTAGGTATAATTTTAAAATAAAATAAAGTTTGGGTACTAAAATAGAACAAAAATAATAAATTAAGTACTAAACGTGTAGTTTACCCTTCTATTTATTATTATGTCAAATACAAATATTATTATCTTAATACGAATTAATTAAATGATCCGTTAGATATCCAAATACACAATAAATATAAAAACAATTAAAAGTAAAGTAAGAATATATATATATATAGTAGTATATTGTTAAACAATATAAAACTCTTAGTTATATATAAATTTAGGACTATTAGATAACTGGAAATAGATGGATGAGATTGATAATAGAAAATGAGAAGATATTCATTGGAAGAAGAAAAAAAAAGTCAATCACAATCATCTATTTTCACTCATACAACAATTATAAATCCATATAAAACTAAAAAATTTTACATTATATAAGTGGATCCTAACCTTATATGTATATATAGGGATGGATATGGGTCGAGTTTGGGTCAGGTTTCGACCAACCTGACCCGACCCGAAAATTTTATAGTTTTTACCCGACCCGACCTGAAAAATATATATCCTCCAATCTGAACCCGACTTGACCCGAAATAATAATAAAATATTATTTTTATTCAATAAAAACAGTGATTTAATTGAAAAAATAATATATAAAGGAGTATTATTGTAATTATTCCTAAATATATAAGGTAAAATTATATTTTTATTGGGTCGGGTATTTTTTACCCTAAACTAAAATTTGACCGACCCGAACAATATCTTTAAAAAAACCCCGACTCGACCCGAACCCAATTTTTTAAAAATTAACCCAACCCGAACGAGTCGGGTCAGAACCCATCGGGTTCGAGTCCCATGCCCATCCTTTTATATATATATATATATATATATATATAAACAATATGATTAAAGAGAGTGATTTAAATTAAAATCAATTAATAATATAATATTATAAATAATTATATTTAAATTTAAATAATGATTAAATATATTTAATTTAACTTGGATTTTAAGAACTTGACTCGAAAAATTTTCAAATTAAAGTTTTATTGATAAAACAATAAATATAAATTCGACTAATTCAAATTTTTTAATTTGAGTCGATCCGATCAAATAATCATCCCGAAATGTATCTGCAAGGGTTACAAGGAAAAGTGGCTTTAAAAGTTGCTTCCGCCAAGATTGTTGCAACTGGAATATGAAATACAATTTGTGATGACGTTGACCTATTTTTCCAGGTGAAAAGCAAGTAACAACACAGAAAATGTCAATTCAGCATCGAACTGATTCCAAAATTCCGCCGGACACCTCCGAAACTGTCTTGTGCAAGAGGAAGTAAGCCAAACACCGGTTTTCGTTCATGTCGGACACGATATAAGGTCTGAAATTCTAGGATGCAGGAGAAAAAGTAAGCCAGGCACCGGTTCTTGCTTGATCGTGTTCGAACTTCTTCAGTATACAGCAGTAGTTAAGCTGGACCAGAAAGGAGGAAAATTTGTGTTCTAGTTACAAAATCCCAGCTCCTAGACTTGTTAAAAACATGAAACAAACATAATGGAAAGCACTGTGCAAAAAATTAACGATCATCGGCGATATGCTTTCTGTATCTATATGCTGGAAGTTCTGCGAGAAACAGATCTTAAAAACCTATCTCGACTACTTTCAGTATACATTTCTTCCTCAATAATAGCATCAACTGATATGAAAGGCGAAGCGGACCTATATGATCAGTCAAATATTCTACAGCGAAAGGAGATCCTATCCCAAGATCAAATTCCCCACCCCAGCTTATCCATCAGAAATTGTTGATGATATAATACTCAGGGAATATAAAGGTAAGAGAAAGAGAAAGAACACAAACCTCCATTCGGAATAAACTCGTAGGGACAACAAGTCCAACTCCTACTGAACTTCGAAGTGACCCTACAAACTTCTGAACAGAGAAATTGCGATACTCGTTCTCGGTTAACTTGGCAACATTACCAGCACATGCAAACACATGAGCATGGATTCCCTTTTCTCTAAACCACCTAAATGGTAGATCAAAAGAAAGGTCTGCCAAAGCAGTGACAGCAAGGTCTCCTCCAAGAAAATCCACGCCAGAAGGACCGACATTTCCATCGTTAACCTGCCTTTTAGGCTCTGTTGGACCCAATCCCCTTGTCTTAAATCCCCATAATGCTGTTGGCCCTCCTAAAGCACAAACTGGAGATATGTTGCCACCTAAGAAGAATCTTTCTGGCAGAGATGACGGTTTACTCAAGAACCCGTCCCCCCATGGAAAGACAACACCACCAGAAACCCCAAAATTAAGAGCAGCATGATAAAATCCGATAGGAACAACGTAACGAAGATCAAATTCCTGTCACAAACCATCAATGGAAAAGAATGACAAACAGCAATTCTGACAAACACGTACAAACACACGTTTGTGAGAAAAAAAGAATGCTTGGGGGTAAATGAGAAGCATGCATAATTCATACCTGCCGAAGAAATCGTAAGCTCCGACTATCAGGTACAAGCCCACCAAGTTGAGTAGTAGAAACAAAAGCATAACCCCGAGTTGGCCGCATTGAGGAATTTCTCCTGTCAAATTTGAAGGTATACTTCATAGAAGAAAGTAAAATATGGCCAAGCTGCCTCCTTACGGACCTCGATGACATTTGTGATGGATCAGTTAAGGTACGCCATGCAAGATTATATGCCACATCATGATGTTGACTTGAAAATAATCCAAGAGACAGGCCCATTGATCGCTCTTTGTATGAAGAAAACTTAAGCCAATCTTGGGATAGTAAGTATGCTCGTGCTGTGACAGGAGTTACCAGTCCTTTAAAGCGTGGCAAATACACGCCAGCGCTTAACTCAGCTGAGTGACCGATTCCATATGCCAATGAACCATCCCAAAGATCCCCATAACCAAACAAATTTTTGTACTTGACAGATCCTTCCACTGTGGAAGATCTAGCCTACAACGGCATTTTACAAATTTAAAAGCTCAAATTTAAGACTTCATACAGAAAATTGGGGATCAAACGGCAGAAGGAACATAATTTTCCATATCAAAGCTAGTATAAATATTATGATCATGGTTGTCTAATTTATTTGCAATATCACTTTTGGTTGGTCGCATGTAGACTAAATGCATAACTATATACATATTACGCATGGTATAAATATCATACAAATGGAACAAAATGCATCTTCAATATAACATTGGAAAAGATTTCTACTCTTTCATCCATCTAAACCTTCAATAAATATCAATAATGCAGCCATGTACATCCTCCCATTCACAATATTCTCATTCATTAGCATTGTCGTTATTCCGTATGCTCGATCAGCTTAAAAGGAAGTGTTCCTCTCCACAAAATCTAATCAACTATGTTGCTCAGACTCTTCATTTTTTTTCAAGTATCGAACAAACATTTGGACACGAGTATGGGATACGACTCACCAAAGTCATACCCTTGTCAAATAATTCTCGTATCCAACAGAAACAAATTCACAAAAATTGAACATACCCATATTGAATATTCATGCAAGAGTCCAAGTAACATAGCTAATTACCACATTATACTAATTCAATAACCAGAATTTACGACATTTTCATTTCAGCATATTAAACTCAAAACTAAATTCCATCCCAACTATTCATATTTCATATATTCCATTTAACCCATGTCTAGAAAAAAACCGCATTGCAATTAATTTTCCTCCAATGTCTCAGTAGCCAAACATATATAATTCAAAACACGCAAACTAGAGGGCAAAATAAACCTTCAAAAAATCAGATTAAAAAACGAAATTCACCTCCGCTTTCGTATAAGCTCCAATCTCTCCCGAAAGCGGGCCGGCAGTCTCAACAACCTCGATAATCACATTAGCAGTTCCAGGAAGTTCAGGCGGACCGGAATCGAGCGTAATTTTCACGGAATCAAAAATTTCAAGCGATTGCAGCCGCAAATTCACAATTTGCGACGCTTTCAACAGCTCTTGCATCGAGCCGACGTTGTTCAACACCTCCGTCTCGGCTTCAATTATATGGTTCTTCGTTTTCGTGTTCCCTTTGATGATGACGTCGTGGACGCGGACCGAAACCGGACCGGTTTTCATTCGCTGCATCAGCGAGTCCATTTTGTGTTTCTCCGAACGCAACCGAGCCTCTCGCGATTGAGGTTTAGGCCGGTTCGGTCCTCCGAATACGCCGTCATTTTCGTCCTCGTCATCATCTTCGACGTCGTTTTCGTCATCGCCGCCATCTTCTTCTTCGTCGATTTCGTTGGTGTTGAAGGGTTTTTGGTGTTCCGGGTCGGATTTCGGATTAGGCTTAGCCAATTCGGGTACCGAATCGGGGTTTGACATTTGTGAATGGGGAACAAGGGGAACGTTCAACTTTGCAAAGCGAAGACAGTGAAGTGAGTAGGCGGGCGGCGGTGCCAGGGGTTTTTGATGTTTAAAGGTTTATTAGGGAAGATTTTGATTTTGCTAAGATGTCCCTTTACTTTTTCTTATTTTATCACTAATACTTTTGGTACTTGTTGATTTAGCATTTCAATAAATTTTCTCATTCATTTATAAATAAAATTTTAACAAATATATTTCGGTATCTAAATTTGTTTTAAATATTTAATTTGATACTTTATTATTTTATCTAATTATAAATATTAATTTAATTTTTCAATTTAAAATTAATTTAATTATCGTAAGTACTAATTTAGAATAAAATGTTAAAAATAAATATTAATGTAAGTCATAAAAACATTTAAACTTATGTATCAAATTATACTTTAAAACTAAATTTGGATACCTTATGGGAATGGATCACAAAAAAATCATTAACCAAATTAAACATTGAAATCAAAATCATATATATATTAGATATTATCTTATTACACAATATTAAACTATTTTAGTTTTACATAGATTTAAGACCGTTGGATGTATAAAATATAAAAAAAATTAGATGTTAATCTCAACCATCTATTTTTACTTATCAAATGTTCCTAAATCCGTATAAAACAAAAAAAAAGTTTTATATTATCTAGGTAGATTCTAATCCTATTTATATATAACAGATGACTAAGATTATTATTAAAAAATAAGAAGACTTTTACAGAAAAAAGTGTAACTATCCTGCGTATAAAAGAATTAGTCTCAATCGTTAAATTTAATTAATATAACGATTCAAAAAATATGTAAAATATTAAAAATGTACATCATATTATTGAATTTTAATTTTTTTTTCTCTCTCTCTCTATATAGTATAATCCACCCACACGATTTAAAAATAAAATAGATTCACTAAATTATGACTATTATATAAGTGTAAATTGATAGCTAAAATTATATATTTTTCATAAAAATCTCCTAATTCTAGCTTTTAATCTCAATCATTACTATATATTCATCCAATAATATTAAATTAATATAAAAATTTGTAATTATTGTCGAAACATCTTTAAGACCGGGGAAGTAGACCCCTTTAAAGTTTCGTTACGAAATGTGTATTGAATCGTGATTCGGGGCGTAATTGCGTTGATCTCTCTGAGTCTAGCACCGACTTCTCTCATATTTGGTCTTTGTCGAGGTTCGGGGTGGACACAAGATTTGATCACCTCTTCGATTTTCTCCACTTGATCTGCACCAAAAGGCTCGTCTTCCTCGCAATACCGGACAAGGTTGGCAAATTTTTTGTGATCGATTCTCGATAACGTTTCAATCTGGAACCATAAAACTAGAAATAGTTAGACAAACCAATAAGATCCGATACTCAGAATGTAGTCGGAGTACTTCTCAACTGTGTTTCTAAATTTCTCGGCCAATCTTGGGCAGATTTCATCGGGACGGAGGCCACAGAAATTTCAATCCCACTAGACAATGTGCCTTTGTACACAATGGCAACAGTTGAAGAACTAGTCACATTGCCGAAATCTTCACAGGTTCTGATCTCTTCAGCTTCAGTACACCTGAAACGCAACAACTACGTTATTCAAATCCAGGTATTGTTGGATACAAATATGTGCTTGGGTATGTTCAATTTATTTCCAAGTTTTTTTTCAAGTATTTGTGTGGCATACTTATGTATAAAAATGTGTCGGACACAAGTTTAAGACATGAATCTTCAAAGAAATATGGTGTATTCGTGTCGAAAAGGTCCCCAAATATAATAGAAGGTTTTGGAAGAGTAGGAGAGATTTTAGAAGCTTACTCCAATGTGGTCTTTTTGGTTTCTTCAATCAATTTCAGCTCTTCTGCGGCAGATCATTAGCACATTTCAGATACATTTTGACCCATTCAAAGCCCACTCAGTCCACTTCCACAAATGAAGTGCAGTCGATATCCTGAAGGGTGATTTTACCCATGTATATATCATTTATGTGATCGGGACAGAGGCAAGCATATCTGATTCAAGGTTTCATGAATAACACCCATACCCTTAACCCACTGAGCTTCATCCAGGGGATTCAGATTCAGATGATTTTGCATTAACCTAACTCTATAAATGATTGTATCAGTTCTCCACAGAAATGAGCAACACAAGGATGTGATAGCTCATCGGATGCCAATCTGATCAAAGTCGAGATATAGCGCCATCCACCAATTTTGGGTCTGAAATATTTTTATCACCCGTCATCTTAATATCCCTCTCGGTCGGGAAGTAAACTTCTTCGTTTCCATTTATATTCGAGACTTTCAAATCTTTACTGTAATGTTTAATTGCTTCAAGTTTGGTGGATTCATGCTTGTGTGCCAATGTTAAAATACAAGAGAACCTCAAGTGATAAGAAACAACCGTTTCCACCATTCTGAAGTTGTGACAACAACAGAAGAAATCCAGCCATCTCCTTCCAACACCAGCGTACCACTTAACGATGTCAGCATCTTCCAATGCAAAAGTAAGTCGATTGGCCTTGGACGACCCATATTATTTGTAAAACCCACCATTCTAACAACCTTCCTAACAAGTTCTATAGAAGCAGAAACCTTCATACACAACTTGGTCAGATCATCTACCCTGCGCTCAGAATATTTCTGTTCCTCTTCTTCTCATACCCTCTTTTCTTCTTCCTCAAATACCATTCTTGCTTTGGTAGGGGCCAAATGCTTGTCAACTTGTTCTTGGAACTTGTCATAAGCATCAACAAGATCTTGTGGCAACTGATCTCTAACATGTCTTAAAGATAAAAAATCACCTCTAGAGAGCAGCCGATACCAGTTTCATCTTTCTTCCAAGGACCCCAAGAACTCTTGGACAACTTAATCTGCCCAAGTCCTAAAGATTCGTCAATTTGATATTCAAATTGTACTACCAATTTAATAATAATTAAATTGATGTATAACGAATGGGATAATAGCTCATAATATTTTAAAAAATAAAAAATAATTAAATTGATAGTTCGTAGTTCATATCTTTAACTTGAACAAAGAATTATCGATCAATCATCTCATAAAGATTTAAGATAAGATCTCTCTTCCCCCCCCCCCCCAAAAAAAATCCTTAGGGTGCTTTAACATATGTTTGGAGTTTGTAATGACCACCTAATTATCTTGTAGTTGGATTAAATATAAAATTATAAAGTTAAGCTTAAAATATTATAAGTTTAATATTTCATTTCACGACCTATATATAAATCTATTAAATCATATAAACTATTTTTATTAAACTTAAATAATCAAAATTTTAATTAATTCCCCAACCTAGTTAAGCTTTCAAAGTGAACCTTAATCAAATTTTAACTAAAACGTGAATAATACATAACCATATGCTATGATTTTCTCTCTCCATCTGTTCAAGTTCAACAACCTATTCATCTACATTATTTTTACTTGTCATTTTTTTAAAAAAAGTTATCTGATACATATTTGATCATAAATAGAGGGCTATAATCCTCCGAATATATAGAAATTTAAAAGAAATTGAATATACTCGTGTCGAATGAAACGCTCACTTTGCATCCGCGTAACGCAGTTGTCCAAAACTTCTGCTGAACCTGTTGTTTATGGAAACTCAGATATTTGAATTCAAGGTAAATTTGAATGTTGCAACTTTGAATTCCAGTGCAGAAGCTAGATAATCAATGGTTAAAAGGCAATCATAATCGAGAGCAAATCGGTAGTGGAAGAACCTTGATTGCTGTCCATGTTTCTTTTTCGGTCATCATTCACTCAGACGCCAAAAACCCTTCTCGCAAACAAGAAATTGGCCTTGGTAAAGAGTTGTTGACCAGTGAAGCGAGCGCAGTATCGGATTGAGCTTCTTAATCGTTTCCATGGTGTCTTGGACCAAAAGATATCCACCGGGTCTCATTATACGATCAATTTCCACAGCTACATCGATGATGTCACATCTGAGGCAAATTGTCCAACAACCATAAATCCAATAACTTCAAAATTACATGTAAATTTAGATCAGTTGTGTTTAAGTGTTTATCGCAACAGCGTACCTATCTTTTAGGTTTTTGAAGAGAAAGCTGGAATGCAGTAGATCATACGTTCGAGGGTAAGTATTGAAAGACTCACACCAGTCGTGATAGACTCCGATCAATCCCCTTTCGAAAATAATGGACAAGGTATCTTGTGCATGAATTGGTACAACATTCATCACCCAGAGAGGTTGCTCGATAAGTGCCGCAGCAAATCTGCAAACAACAATTTCAATATGAGTGTGAGAACTCTTACAAGAGTAAATTCAACTTGATACATCTGTTCAATGTTTGCTTTTTACATAAAAAAGTTGTTAAATTTCTTACCCTCCATAACCAGCATTCATATCCATCACATTTCTTATCCGTGCCAAGTTTATAGCCAGCCCACCGAGGTACACATCCGATACAAGTGCTGCCCAATGTTTGGTGTCCTCATTGAATATATCTTCAGCATCTGGTTTAGATGGAAGGCTTGGAGGCTTACTGCTAAGCCTCTGGGGCCATGGTGTGGACCATCTGAGCATATTACCCATGCTGTCGACTGGAAGATGCGAAATACAATGACTGAGAGGCTCATACCTGCCAAACTCAATAGACATCATTAGAATCAATTTCAACGGAAAAGAAGATGACACCACATATGCGAACGTTATTTTAAGACACAACTCTACAGTTTAAATTGCTTCAGTCTAGACATCAGAAGTAGTAAACCCGTGCACATATGGATAATACTCCCAAAAAATTACCACGAGACATTCTGCTTGGTTTTCTGTTCACACAAGGGTGGAAGTTTTTCTTTGCGCCGTTTGTAACAAGAATATGAGGAAGGCTTTTGATATATATTACGAGCCCAACTCCAGTTGAATCAACAGTTTTAGCCACAACCTTCCAGCATATGGCTGTTGTTAAAGCCACCATTGCTGATATAAATACAGA